AAAAAAAAAAAAAAAAAAACCTTTACCCTTTCTTCCATATGAATTAATGAATTGTAATATTTTCATTTGGAACAATTCCCAATCCGCAATCTCTCGTGGAGGGTGCAAAACAAAGAAAACGTAGCTATTATCCCCATTCTTCAAAGGTGCAGCATGCACGCTTCTTTTAGGTGTTACCAATATGGTACTTCCCAGTGCACACATACTTATATATATAATATATATATTTATAATTTACAAAATGTTCCTCCAAGTGGAGTTTGATTTTCAATACCCTACCTATGATTAAAGAATTATTGATAGACACTTTTTTCTGTATTGCAGTGAATTAAAATTGTCGCAGGTATAACAATAAGAAACTAAAAAAGTTTACCTCATTATATTTTATTCATAACCATATGATCCTTCCTTTTCTTATCTCCAATTAATACGAAGTTGTTTAAGATTCGCTTGGATTATATCTAATTAGTCTATTTGTTTTCTTTTAGTAAAATTTCTTTAGATGCTTAAAATTAACCTTGCAAATAATGTCACTGTACCTAAATTTAAAAATTCATTTGCATCCAATGGCCTTGGTGGTATGAGATAAATCATACATTATCTACATAACTTGAAAAAAATTCAAGTTTAATTAGATCTTGTTTTACTATGGTTGGCTCAATTTTATAGTCATAATTTGAATTGATAGCAACCACATGGGTTTTGATCATGAGTATGTATACCAACCATAGACCCTGAAGTCATGGGATGTATATTTGATACAATATCTTGAGAAGTTCCATTGTTAATGCATTTCTGAGATTAGACTTTCATTTGTGCTAAATGAATATGAATTATTTTTTGTACTTTAAATATATTGTAATTGATTGCTTTTATTCTTACTTTGATTAAGTAGATAATTTATTAGAACTGTTTTAACCTTATTTAAAATATTAATTTGTACTTTAATAAATTAAAACGTGACTGAAACTTATTGCTTCCATGCGTAAGACATGACTCTCATAATAGAATTTGAGAGAAATTAATAGTTTCAATGTTCGAGGACCAAAAACGTTTTTTATGTTAAAGTCATGATTGAACTTTTAGTTTTTAAGAGACTGTATTAGCATAAAAGCAATATACAGAACAAAAATAAATAAGAAAAAGACGATTCGATATATCAATACTACTCATAACATAAAACTACATTTATATAGTGAAACAAATTCAAGAACCCACTAACCGTCACATAACACGGGTCTTTTAAATTATTAGAAAAAAGATTAATTTATTTATGTAAAATTAAGTTAACAGATAATCTGAAAAGTATGTATATCTCTATGGAGGGAGAATTGTCATGATCCTAAGGCATTGGTTTTGGACATAAATTCTAATAAGTCTATATTGAGTTGAAAAGTATAAATTTGTGTTTATGTGATACATTTTTAGACTTAGATTTACTAACTGATGTCAAAAGAATAAAATAACTTAGTTTTTTTTTAACATAACTCATACACTTCGTGAAAATTACAAAAATGTCATTACACTTTTTATATTTCGTTTTCATTGAAACTAAAGCTCAATAGACAAGTTAAAAGTCATATTTTGAACTGGTGATAATAACGTTAATTTTCATGACTTATATGACTTATATGACTTATAAGTGTTGAGTTTAAGTGAATTTTAGTATGGTTTGAACATTTATCATATTTTAATTATTGATAAGTTTCGCTTAAACTCACTCAAATTTAATTTGTTTTTGCATATTACCGCACTAGAATAGATAATGAAAGGAAAACTATAATAGTTAAATGAAAATACTAAAATTAAAACTAGAAGAATTTAACTAATCATTTTTCTCCTAATGTTACATGTTAAGAATATATCTAAAACTTTAGCTCATTATAAAGTTTTTATATTAGTGCAAGTGATTCATTTAAAAAGTTAGTGATAGATGATATTGAAGTTTGATGATCATCTTAGGATCTAAGTGTCTAGAATATACTTAAAGTTACATTTGAGAATACTCTTAAAATATGAATAATTAGTTTTTTGTGAATAACAAGGAAAGTAATACATGAGAGGTATATCCAGGTGAATTTCACCTCACTTTAACATTAAAGTGTCCAACAACCATATTAACTATATTAAATAGTCAAAAAACATGTGGCTAACATATGATAGACATCGGTTAACAACATGTAATTTTTTAAAAATTATTTTTACATTTTATTTTCTTTTGGTTACAAAGAATGTATTTCATGCATTATTAAAATATATGGGTAAATTTTGTATAAACTTTTTAAGAGAAACAAATTCCATGTGTAAGTTAAGAGACTAAATCATTTAGTAAAATGTGTTTATTAACCAACAAATATCCAACATTTGACTTGTCATGTAACATTAATAAAACATTTAACATTTACCCAGCGCACTATAATGCAGGTTGAATTCTTTTTGTAAACATATAACATTTATCTGGTATGGATCCTCGAGGACCCGAAAATTGTATAACCTAATAAATAATATTCTATATGAAAAGCATAATAACAAATTCGTTAAGAGATACATTAGGTTTTATTAAGTTTATCTAGTAGCTTGCTTGGCCTATGCACACTTTGTTGTACATTGTGTATAATAAAGTTAGTAAATTAATAATGCCATACAACAACTTTTTTGTTTCATTATTTTCCTTGTCATGAAAAAAAAAATTAAGTGAAATAACATTAAATCTAATTATTTGACTTTTTGAAATATTTTTCCATTTAAAAATATTTTTTTGACACGTCTTTTATTATACATTCACTTTACAACTAATTTTTATAATAACATAGTAAATATATTTTTAATCTATATATATATATATATATATATATATATATATATATACACAAATTTGAAATTCATTTTTCTTGAAAATTTCATATAAAATTCATCTTTATATTTTAGTAATACTTAATAATAAATGAAATATGTCATCAAGAATTGATAGGAAAAGTGTAAAACAAAGGATAAATTAAAAAAAAATTATAGATATCAGTCATATGTCATGACCTTTTAATTTAGTAAACATATTACATCTAAAAGTTAACCTTCTTAGTTTTAGAGAATATATTTCATGAATTACTAAAGTATATAAATGTACTTTATACGAACTTTAAGACTAAATTCTCTTAAGAGGATTTGTTATTCACAAGTAGTGTGTAGCACCTATTTATGATGGATAGTCATGTTTGTTTTGAGATATTTAAAGGGGAGGGAAGGAATGGATATGCAAAATACAATATATTTATTTATCACATCATATTATTCACAAACTTTTATAAATTTCATTCTCAATCTCATTTATTTTTACCTCTAATTTTAAATTTTAACTTCTATTATTGTTTATGATGCTATTTTTTGTATAACTATTAATAAGACTTTCAGGTTTTTAAATTTTGTTATAATCTTAGCTATTTTATAAACTTTCACGTATATGTCAATAAAAATTCGGTTAATTTAATATATATATATTTAAGTAGATAAATATAATATTATCTTTTGTTTCTAAATTAAAAAATGAATAAAAAAATTACATTATTTTTACATTAATATTATTTTTAAAAGTTTTATATTTATTATTATTAATTATTACAACTATTAATTAAATAAATAAAGTTGTAATATATAATCTCATTGTTTGATGAGAGTTGTTTGCAGCATTTAAATAAAAACATAATTACACATAAAAAAAACTCAATATTTCATATAAAAGTATAAATGATTTTTATAAAAGCATAATACATCAACTGACATCCTGCTCTTACTATAGCAGCTCATAGCTTCCATCACTGACATCCTGCTCTTACTCTAAATCACAACAGCTTATAGCTTTCATCACTCAAATTCACATTTACAATAATAATATGCAAATTCTTTGAAACAAAAATGCTAACTTACTCATATTTTATTATTCATAAATAGTATATCCGTTAAAACAAACAATTGGTTGATGTTTAATTCTTCACATGTTACCATTGACTCATAGTTTAAACTAATTAACTGAAAAAACACTAATTTTATATGGGTTAACGTTATCATTATTAAGATTATATACATTATATATCTTAGAGAATTTGTAAGCAGATTCTTTTATACTTCTAATAATTTTTAAACAGAAAACTTAGTGCAATATTTTAAAATATTTTAAAAAATTAATATAATATGTAAAAAATACTGATATAGTATTTTCTTAAACACAATTAAAAATCAATAGATAAATAGTATAAACAATTAAACTACTATTATTTTATCAATTTCACCCAATAAACGAGTGAAAGAGTGCAGAATGCCAGACACACAATGGAATGATTATTTAATGTGATGATCGATCATCAGCAGGCGTACTCAAAAAATATCGTGCAAATTATTATGTCTCAGACTAATATAATATATATTTTTTTACTTGGATATTTGAATTCCATACATATATCTTCAACGTATAATTTTTTTAAAATGCTTTACCATCCCACTATTAAAATATTATAAAATACTAAAAGCAAGTAAAGTTAAAGCAACTCAAAATAATTATAAAAACAAAATAATAAATTAAGGAAAGAAGTTAAGTTCAAACAATCTTCTCTCCAACATAACTTGATTACATATAATAAAAGTATTACACCTAAAAGATATAACTTTAAAAAAATAAAAATAATTTTAAAAAATAAAGAAACTTATATTGTTCTGTGTAATGAAAGGAAGATGGACAACAGACTATAAAGAAAGCAGTATACAGGGTTTGATTGTAGAAGAAGAGAGAATAAGAAAGGAGAGTGTTTGTGGTTGTTGAAGGTATGAAGGGGGGAAGTGCAGTTAGTAGTGTGGAAATGAGAGTGGCGTGGAAATAGAAAAAGGTGGTGATGTAAAAAGTCAATAATGTCCTTTGCGTATTGTCGCTGTCTTAGGCTTCGTATTTGCAGGTCATCGCCCCCCACAAACTCCAATCGGAAAGGTCCCACACAGACAACAAATCCTTTAATTTTCCTCTCTCCATCCAACCCCTCAACTCATTTCACCTTCCTCACACGCACGCGCTCGAGTGAAGAAGACCAGTTTTTCAAAGAGTCTGCCCTCTTTCTCTCTCATTCCCTCATCTCGCTTTGGCCTAAGACAACAATAACAACATCAAAAAATCCGACATCTCTCGCTTTCCCAACTTCACACCCTGTTTCTTTTGGATAGAAGGAACCCTTAAATACACAGTCTCTCTCTTCTTCTTTCACTCTTCATGCTTCTCAATTACTTCTGTTTGGATGAATCTTGATCTCTGTCTCCACCACTCTCCTACAAGGTAACAAAAGCAATCGGAGAGGGCGAGGTTGTCTGGTAATGGATGTGGGGTGCGTGCTGTTACTGTGGTGGGTGACTTTGATTCCGGGGATTTTATCAGATCCAAGCGACGAGGCATGTCTGACACACCTCAGCAAGTCCTTGGAAGATTCCACCAACTTGCCCCATAACTGGAAAGAAGAGAACTTTGCCAAGCCCTGCAACGATTCCACCTCCATTCTCCAAGGTGTCATCTGCAACAATGGCCGCATTTACAAGCTCTCTCTCAACAACCTATCGCTCCGGGGAACCATATCCCCATTCCTCTCCAACTGTACCAATCTCCAAGCTCTTGACCTCTCCTCCAACTTCCTCACCGCTCAAATCCCCCTGGAACTTGAGTCTCTTGTCAACCTCGCCGTTCTGAACCTCTCCTCCAACCGTCTCGAAGGGGATATTCCCCCGCAGCTGGCATTATGCGCCTATCTCAACATCATCGACCTCCACGATAATTTGCTTACCGGGCCTATTCCCCAGCAATTTGGCCTGCTCGCTCGTCTTTCCGCCTTCGATGTGTCCAATAACCGCCTCTCCGGGCCCATCCCCGCCTCCCTGTCGAACCGTAGCGGGAACTTGCCCAGATTCAACGCCAGCTCCTTCCTGGGGAATAAGGATCTCTACGGTTACCCGTTGCCGCCTTTTAGGAATAGTGGGTTGTCCATTTTAGCCATTGTTGGGATTGGCATGGGGAGTGGCCTCGCCAGTTTGGTTCTTAGCTTCACCGGAGTTTGTGTCTGGTTAAAAATCACCGAGCGCAAGATGGCGCTGGAGGAAGGCAAAATCAGCCACCTTATGCCCGATTATTGAAACATTAATCACAAATTACAATACTTTCAAATATTCCAACCCATCTCTCATTCAACTGCATCCAAAAAAAAAAAAAAATAGTGCCCGTACCAGGTACTTATTTTTTTTGTGTTTATAAAAGCGAGGTTGGGTGTGGGCTACCCCTAATTTCTTCGTACTTATGGGTGGTTCAGATCATTGTCTCTTATCTATCACGGGGACATATTTTATTTTGTAGTAATTTATAAATTTATAATTTCTCTCTCTCTCTCTTTTTCTTTCCATCATAAGTATTGACTGTTTTAAAATTTTGCGCTTACCCGATCCCGGTTGGCTGTATTATTGTTGTTTCCATTTATTGAATAGGATTAGCTTAGCAGCGTGAAAATAAATTTTGAAAGAGGTGCATGGGTGGTATGGTACTGATGTTGTGCAGCTTTAATTTTGTTGCTTGTTGTGTTGATGCATGGATTGGCAATGCGATGTCTCGATTTTCGTAATTTTGATATGAATGAATCTGTGGGTGGGTTGGCGCTTGGCAGGAGGTAGGGTAGGTTTACTGGGTGTGGTACTGCCATGGTAGTAGTGGTAGTGTTAGATGAAGAAGCACTGCTGCGCCGTTCACCTGCAAACCTGTCTGCCAGTGTGCTAAAATATATCAAAACCAACACAAACAGCTGGTGCCATTCTTCTCACACAAGACTGCCGCGTTTTCCTCTCAGTATCGGACTTCTTGGTGGAGCCACATGGATTGGGACTTGTCTTCTCTCATAATCACTTGTTCTTCCACTCTTCACTTGTTAGTCCAACGTCAACTGGTCAACCCTGTTTTTTAGAATCTGCTTATGTGTCTCTCCCCACATACCATTAGGATCATTATTTTTAGACTACACACAACACTTGACATACGTGTTCTGTTTTACCACCAAACACGTCAAACCATTACACTTAATTACTACTCAATACTAAGTCAGATATAAAATCATTTTTATTTCCCAAGTGTTTCTTACTTTTATTTTAGGTTTACAACTGTATCAAATATTCGTAAACAGTTTTTCCAGCTCTAATTTCAGCCAAAAGAATATACCACCATACTTAAGTACAGTAATTAAGTGATATGGTATATTTAATGAATTTATTGTTATTTATGTATATTTAATGGCACTTTATGAATGATGATGTTGGAGAAAGTGTGAGCAAAAATTAAAATTTACAGCAATAAAGTTAAGAGGGGTTAGCGTGAATGTGGTGCTTCCCATAATTATGGCCAGTGGGTTCCTTTGTTTGTTTATTTGCTCTCTCTCATGCTATTCTTCTTTCTTTAATTTTTTGGTGAGTCCTTCTTCCTGTTCTTCTTATGGCCTGGTTTTATTTCTCCTAAAAGCTAAGTGGGCCTGGTCTCTCACACCAGGTTTGGTTTCTTTTTAAAGCTATACTGTTCATCTGGAATCATCGCTCACAACAAAATAAAACGTGGAATCGTTGCATATGCTTCCTGTTGCGAGAAACTGACAATACATTTTCCTTCCTTTAAAGATCACACTGAATTTATTCGAGGAGGAAAACTTTGACTGGGCCGCATGGTGGTGGCACCCCAAGATTTTTACAGGGTAAAGCCGCGTTACAAATATTCGATAGAATTTAGGTGAAATTTGTCAAGATTCAAAAGTGGTGATTAAATTTTCTTGGTTGGAAAATAATTATGTTGTCTTATGCACGTTAAGGGGATGGACTAATGATATTGTCCAGCCGAGAAGGAAGTAATGTATATATGTGAGTTGTGAAAGCAAATCCATGATCCATCCAACAGTTGACAAGTAAATCTAGAACGATACACGAAAGAGTTGGTATGATTAGTAAAAGGTGATGATTAATGGGAGACTTTTACTTTGAGATTTAGCAAAGCAGTTGAATGTGACAGGATTGAATTTGGGGAGAAGAAAAGAGAAAGAAAAAGAATGAGAGCAAAGAAACATGTATTGCTAAGATTGGAGTGGCAGGGATAGGATGTGTTGCTAATCCTGTGTATTCCGTAATAAATCATTGTGACGTATAAAATATAATAGATATTGAAGTTAGATAGACCGAAAGTGAGAAGGGTGAAGGGTTCTTTATTGTGTTTTGGGGTGAAAGTCAAATATGCTTTCATTGGGTTCATTAATGGGTTCTCCGAGATTGGCATGAATGCGATGATGGAGCTGGGGCCATAGCCCCACCCATGTTGTTCGTTTTATTTTATGCTCTAAAAATTGAAGATGATATTTTGGCCCAGTTCCTCCTACCTAATTAATGGAATTTCATCATTCTCACTCATCACATCTCATCTCATACCTTCACAAGAAAACTGCATTTGCTTTTAATCATCTCTTGCTTCCCCAAACACAGCGAGACGCGTGACAAAAATTAATCTTCCTATTCTCTCTACCCCATACCTCATCTTAAGTCAGATATTCAATTTCTATATTGTCTTATTTTATTATTATTGTTATTAGAAATTTAAGTATGAGGTAAAAGTTTTATTCCAATAAAAAGGAACAGATTGAGTATGGTGATGTTATAATCCTTGTATAAACTTACTTAGGCTAATCGGTGATGAATTTTCTTTCCATGATACGATTGGGCGTTTCTTGTTCACATTTTGAAGCCCGTCTTGGCTTCTTTTCTTAAAACCACTTAGTTTCTTCCTGTACCTCTATAATTCCGACGTTATAAACCTTAAAACTTCAAGTTTATCCAATAGTTTAGGATTTCAATTCCGAGTTCTGGATGCTTTAATCTGAGACTTTTTCGTGATGTACAATATAAATATATATATTCTGTAAAATAAAATAAAATAAAAGATGAATCTGGATTGGATAGTTGAAATATAGAAATACAAATTTTATGTTTTAAATTATACATTTTAAAATTATTTTTGTTTTTTATTTTAAATTACACAGAAAAAATTGAGTTTAATGATTATATACAGTCAATTAATCATAAGTTATCATTGATATAATTCTTAGCATAATTATTGGAAAATTAAAAAGAATAATAATGGTTTATGATTGGTCAATAGTATAAAATTGGTTTATAATGCGGGTGTGTATACTTTCTTAGTAAAATCTCAGTGATAGTATCAGTATTGAAAAGCGGATGTGTGTATTGCAATAACATCAACTAAAAATTGCTACTATTGTATAATAAAGTTGGACTTGTGATTTCTTTTGAAGGTACTATTGTTTGTAGCCCATTTTAAACTAGACTCCATTATTTTTCTCTTCTTGGGTTGGTTGGTGGTGTGGGCTGAGAGTTTTCTCTCAGAACCCAAATTGCGTGGGTTCTTGATGGCACTAGTTTAACAATTTCTGTTGGATTCACCAAAATTCTCAGCCCAAAAACTTCGTGGTAGGTGTTTTCAAAGTTCCAATATCCTCCAAGTTCCAATTACTGTTTTTTCTCTTAATTTTTTTGTTAGATTCTACAGTTGGAAAGTTATTTTTGACTTTCGAATTGCATAGTAAAAAAAAAAAAAGTTTCAGATTTGAAAAAGAAAAAATGGAAAAAAAATATTATACAGTTACAATAAGAAAGTTATGTAGGTGCAGAAAGATGCTGCCATCTTGGAGTTTCAAAACATTTACAATTTAGGTCCTTTCTTTCCGTAACCATATCACTTTCGTGTGCATCCTCAGAGAAGTAAGTAAAAGACAAAATTGACCCCTTGTTGTCACCGTTCACTTGCCGTTGTCATTTCTTTGTCATCAATGCTCCTTTATGGTCACAATCACTTGTCTGTGTTGTGTTATGGTTAGACTTAATGAAGATAATGTTCGGCATAAAGTTATTTTTATATAAAAGTCCTTCTTTATTGTATGATATAGAAGTAAAAAACTAACTTTTATATTATACAATTCGCAAAACTTCTTTATTACAATGCAGAATTTTTTGATGAAAAAAATATTCTATATTGTGTAATTAAATTTTTCCATTAAAAAAATAACTTTTAGATTTTCTAATTTACAGGTTAATTGTTTTAAGGCTCACGATTCAAAAGTAATTTAAAAAAAATAAAGGGAGAATTTTCGTATTTCTAGAGTATAGGAGAAAAATATGGTGGTATAAAAATGAAATCCCCTGAAGTTCACTGTAGAATGAATTGGGCTACATTTGGTACCTTCGACCCATGTAGAAATGTGGAAGTATAAAACTAAGGGGCTTTCTTCCATGCGCCCCTAAATTTTACTCTGACGCTGTCATTTTTAATATATATATAATATTAAATTAATTAGGCAAAAATTGATTCCTACTTACTAAACGTATTTATTATGGAAGGTGATATATTTATTGATCTTTTCACTCCAAAGTTACTTTTATTTTCATATGCAACTCAAAGCATTCTTTAACTTTCTTTTCGGAACAGTATTGCGTTTCTTCTTTCATTTTTATTCATCTTCGTTTAAATTTTTTTCATCTTTGTTTGTCGTTTAAAATTTTTTCATCTTTGTTTGAAAGAGAGAGGGTACACATATTAACTTCATTCTTCTTTAATTATATTTTTGTTTTGTTAACGTAAATTGGTATTTATTTTTATTATATTTGTATACATCAAATTTTAAAATATAATTTGTAAAAGTTTTCATTGAATTTCGAAAGTAGTAAAACTTCAATAATAATCAGATTTCAAAATCTGGCTCAAGAGTAGTGCCGAATTTTGAAATTCAACTTAAAAAAAAAACAAAATTTGAAAATCAGTTTATGGAAGCACCTAATTTTAAAATCTTATTTATGTAATTACTAGATTTTGAAATCAACTGTAACTCGTTGAATTTTAAAATTCAAGAAAAGAATTGATTTTCAAATTTGGTTAGGAAGTCATTAGCTTTTAAAATTTGATTCAAGAACTCATCGTATTTTAAAATTCAATTAAAATAATTATTGAATTTCAAAAAATTCAATTAAAAATATTATTGAATTTCAAAAAATTCAATTAAAAATACTATTGGATTTCAAAATCCGGTTAAACATTCTT